CATCGGGGCCGGAAGGAGCGATTTTGAATCGGAAAAAAAAACGGAATGAATAGACTTGCTCACTGTTTCCGAATGTTAGGAGGAGAGAATGATCTAGGACCTTCAATTTTTCAATTTGGTTCTATTTCTTTACAAGTTTAGTTGATTTCCTTCTTCACCATACTAAGGCTGGTTGCAAATAGCACTGAGTGACTCAACCAGAAATAATCCAGGGCCAATAACGAAACTTCCATGTTTGGGCACAAAAAATCCCCGTAGTCGTAAGATAACACGTTGGATGCAGAAATTCACGGACACCACACCACGTTTTTTTAGGGGGACGTGCAATTCGTGCGATTCTGTTCGCGCGCGGCGAAATTCGCGATGATTCAAACAACTCCGGCGCCTATCACTGGGGCACAAACTTGAAGTAGAGTACTTTAGTAGGTTCGGACAATCCTGCTGACCTAGTTTACTTTGAATTTGGGCCCCAATGATAAACGCTGTAGTCGTCCAAATCGCACCGAATTTCGCCGCGCGCACCCAGAATCGCACGAATCGCAACACACCCCGTTTTTTTAGCGCAGCATTATTTCAGCAACTATTTTACGACTAGCAGTACTGTAGGAATTTGGACCCATGCCAGAATCATGTTATTCTTTTGGACATTGGATGTTAGCTTTACTCTTTCCGAATAACATTCTCTTACGAATCGCAACACACCCCGTTTTTTTAGCGCAGCATTATTTCAGCAACTATTTTACGACTAGCAGTACTGTAGGAATTTGGACCCATGCCAGAATCATGTTATTCTTTTGGACATTGGATGTTAGCTTTACTCTTTCCGAATAACATTCTCTTCGAAACCAAGCCAGGCCAGAGCTAAGTTGTCAAAGGTTTTTATGCTTTGAGAAGCTGTGGATAGTGAAGCCCTCAGAAGGCAATGCAAAATTAGAATTGTGGGGGAGGTCTGTGATTTCAGTAGGGTTATTGTATTACTCAAGCTCAAGAATAACTGTAAGCCTGCTTTATTGTGTATCGCTATCTCCTTTGGGAATAATCATCAAAAACACCTATAAATTTGGCGAAAATTTACGAATTCACCTATAAACGGTGGGCTCCGAAGTCAATAGAGGGGATCGAAATGGGAAAAGAGAAGAGGGAAATCAAGGCGCACAGAATATGCCCAGTCCTTATGGCCAGCTTTGTTCCTTATCAGTTCCTAATAAAACCCAACGTCAGGTATCTTAAGTTATCAAAGGTATGAGATTCCAACAGAGATATAAAACGAAACAGCTAAAAAATAAAAAAAGAAACATCTGGAAAAACTTTTATTTGTGTAAAATGACAATTGAAAAGTGGCCGGCGCTTAACGGATTATGCGCTCCAATTGTGAAATGTGCGCTCGGTTGTTAATGACGTAAACGTCGTCGCTTAAAAAAGGAATCATTTCTCATTTCCTTGCTGTTCTTCTTGGTTGGCTTTACGTTTTTGATTGTGTTGGCTTCAGTGCGAGCTTTTTTTTCATGGGCGTTACATGTAGTAGGTTTCTTGTTTCTTGCCTTTTCTAACCAGGCTTTCTTTGAAAATCAGACAAATTCAAATAGGTAGGAGCAGGGCGCTCGCTAAATTTGACGTTCCGGCAGCACAGCTGTTCTTGTAGCGTCTGTGTAGACTTAAATGTTGTAAATTTTTGTGGTAATGGATTATTTTAATGGGTTTTTCGACGTCCATTTAAGAGAGTTTGACTCACAGGAGTTGGTTTCTTTTTGCCAGTTTCAAGGCGAAATTCGTTTTCATATGTCGACGTCATTATGGTCGTTTTGTCGGGGCAAAATTGGTCACGTGGAAACTGGCATTCAAGCGAAATAGCGTTGGTTCAGATTTGGACAAGGTAATTAAGTTGTGGCATGCTTTTGCTGATGAAATCCTTGAAGCACTCACCATATCTCCACTTTTTGTAATCTGCCATGAAAGATAGACAGTTCGCATATCACAGTCTGTGAAACGATATGGATTACTTTGATTGCTATCGGAGCAGGGACTTATTTTTCTCTTCAACCAGTTTTCATACGTCCTGATAGTCAGTTTCTCTTTTTACACGATTTCGGTTGGCTCAGGCTATTGTGCAGCATTATTATGATGCTATATGCATTTGTCGATTCTGGAAATTTTGTTGTAAGTGGCACTCAAGCAATGGCATCGTCTTTATAAGTTTGAAGCATCTCATCACGCACCAAGATAAGGCTTCCAAAACAAGACTTACATAGTTCAGTTCTCGATTTCCGCTTTTCGTGACGGAGTTGGCTGCTGAATTGAAATGCGTTAGAACCTCCTATAATGCCTGCGTGGTCGATGGATGCTACCGATTCTGTTTTAGTAAAATCGTCATCAAGTAATGAGTAATGTTCGGTCCATCGCAACAGATGTTTATTTTTGGATGTTCTTTAGAGCTGTGGAAAATCTTGTTGTCTTCTTTCGCCGGTGAAAAATGCTTGAGCGAAGTTGGTTCGCTAGAATGAACTGAATTATTTGCTTGAATTGGCAAGTCACGTTACTTGGAAAGAGTTTTGGGTTGATTTGCTCCTATGAGTTCAATGTATAGAATTCATGCGAAATCATGATTTTGCTTGCCAGCCACAGTGTACTGGGACACTGTGGCTTATCCATGATGTAGTTCCCTCTAACTGCCTTGCTTTGTTTTTTTTTTTTTGAATCCTTATGAAGTGCTTCTGCCTACCCTTCTTCGGTTAGAAATTTTCGCTCAGTACTTGGGTGCTGACTAAGCGGAATGAATCATGGCTTAGCCAGTTTCCGACAGCACGCTAAACGATGGTGCGACACTTCGACTTATTGTTCCTGTCATGTAGGCGACAGGTATGAAAGGGGTTTGCTCTGAAAATTGTGCTGGGAAACACTGTCAACAGGCAGGAAGTGGAAGTACGAAGTAACCAGTGGTTCATTCGGAACATAATTCCTTCAGAAACAACATACTATCACCCCTGCTTTCAAATTTGATTTTGGAAGATTTCTGGGGTACAGGATGTTTGGACAACTTCTCAGCTGCCGGTGTCACAACGCACTCAACTGTGTCACCTGTTTGACCCAGCGCCTAGCCCCTCTTCCTCGTCAATTTTATACCGATTGTGGCAGAGTACGCTTCAGTGAATCACTCTTTTACAACCTTTTCTCTCGAGCATCTATAGGCAAAGCCGTACATCCTTTCTTTTTCGATGAACAACTTTCCGTAGCGTTCAGTCTGAGAGCTCTCCTTATACTGCCAACTGCTGGTGTTGGACCTAGGTATATCCCTTCCGCTCCTTATATTCCCACGTTGTTTTCCATGTATGAATCAACATGTTGTTTAGAGATTAGCCGACGTGTTTATGCATTTGTACTGTACATAAATGGATTTGAGCATGCTTTCCGATTACACTAGCGAGCATAGAAGTGTCGTTTGTTTTACTTCTACTTCATAATTCCCAACACTGTCAGCTTCTCGGAATTCCTTTCTGCTAGAGCGCTTGGTCGCGCTATCATCCTACGCATCGCAAACCTTTTTATAAGATGCTGTATTACATCTTTGACTTTTCTAAGCGTCCTGTTTACACTCATACCACCAACCTGTTCCTGTTATACTGATCTGATTTTAACGCCCCACAGTAGAGGTTTGACGAATTTCTTGGGTGCTAGTAACTTTCGGTAACTTGTACTGAATCACTTTTTATCAATTATTCAAAAACTCCTCTGGGTAAGTAATTTTTGTTTCATTTCTAGTTTTGAACTCATTTGTATTGAACTCATTTGTACCTATCTCTTTAATTCACTGAATCATTGACTCCCATCAGATGCATCCATGAAACGTTCAAATGATTCAGTTTTTGTGATTCTAAAGTGTTTCCAACTGCACAGTGTCATTGTATAAAGTTGACTACCTAGGTATGCCTGAACCGGCCGGAAAGGAAAATGGAGAACAGGCTCAGAAAAGCGTCCAAATCGATGATGTGCTCGAATATTGTAATTCGTCAGGTAGAACATTTTTTTAGTAGATGCAGATATCGTTCTCTCTCCATACTTTTAGATGTATTTTACTTCTAACGCGGTTCTCATTTGAAGCTGTAGTTTGTACGAAACAAAGTGGTAAGCTATGTAATAATGCTTAGCTATGTGTCGTATACATGCTTGAAATTCCCTTTGTTTCTTTAAAAGCGATAACAGCTTTTTTTGGGCATATTATCAAATCAAACAGTTTATGTGACTGCATATTATAGGCTCATCGGTGAACGAATTGGTAAATGGTGTGTGTCCTCGGTCTTCACCATCCCCACCTGCTTCTCGTAGACGATTACGAACGATGAGCGGTTCCAAAGCTGAACACCACCTTTTCACCACCAAGTCTGGAAGGGTAAGTTACATCTGGGGAAGAGGGAATAATCTGTGTTCTCGAATTATTCAACTGCAATTTTTTGCTGCTAGTCTACTAGTTCGTGTGGCATATCCTTAAGGTTTTTTTAATTTCATGAACATTTCTCTAATCCATGCCATTTTTCCATGCAATATGCCCCAATTCACCCAATTTGAGGTGGTTCCAGGGAATGTTGCAAGAAAAGTGGAATTCCCTAAGCTTCCTTCTTCATAGGCACAGAACTATCTATCTAGCACAGTTGCAACCTTCCGAAATGATATGTTAAACAGAGCAACTAGATAAAAGTTAAACAACTACTTGTAGCGGCACTGCTTTCAATTGGTTACGCTGAAATACCTTCTTGGGATCCTCCAACTCAAAATCAGATTAGCTTGGGGAACATATAGGAATAAACAGTAGCTTCTGATCCGCCTTCGTTTGATGAACGTGGTCCGATTCAGAAAATCTACACGAAAGGAAGGCCGCCTTGGTACGACAGCAAAGGAAAATCGCTGAAACAGCCATATGTTATTGGAATCTGTGGCGGGTTGGTTTTCTGAAGTTATTCTTGGTGTACACCAATATTACCACAGGCAATTCGATAAGTGACGGAATGTCAGTTTCGAGCTTTCTTTTCAGGTGGGGTACTGTGTCAGGAAATTCTGTTTTCAGCTCAGCCAGTGGTAAAACTACTGTTGCCGAGAAGATCATAGAAAAATTAGAGATACCATGGGTGACGATTTTAAGTATGGATAGTTTTTATAAGGTAAAATGCTGTGCACATTCCTTTCAGCTATTCATTCATGTATATCTGCTACAGGTTCTTAACGAAAAGGAGCATGCGCTTGCTGAACAGTCCAACTACAATTTCGACCATCCCAATGCTTTCGATTTCGATCTGCTTTTTGAGGTTTACTTTTGTATTCTTTCGTTTTGTTCTCCTTTTTATTTATTTTGTTTTTTTTTTAGGTTTTGACTCGACTCCGCGAAGGAAAAAGTTGTGAAGTGCCTGTATACGATTTCACTACTCATTCTCGGGATAATAATCCAAAGGTTGGCATTTTCAATTTTTGTGCAGCTTCATGGTCGTTAGTAATGGTAATTTAGTGAACACGTTCAACTTTTAAAACTTTTGTTCATTCTGCTCGAAGGCCATGCCTACGTGTTCCAGGTGATGTACGGCGCAGACGTTCTTATTTTCGAAGGGATTCTTGCCTTTCATCGCCCCGACATAAATGCTATGATGGACATGAAGGTTTCTTGATATTTTCTGTGGGTATTGTAACGGATACCTTTTGAAAAAGGGCTCGATTCAAGGTATTCGTCGACACGGACCCTGATGTGCGTTTGGCTCGCAGACTAAATCGTGATATCAACGAGCGCGGTCGTGATGCGGTTGGCGTACTTGATCAGTATTTCAGATTTGTCAAAGTGAGTTTTTTCTTTTTTCCTCTTTTGTTTGGCTGAGTATGATCTCATTCCTGAGCATAACTGTGCTGTCCCCTCTAGGAAACTGTTGCCTTGCGATCATTGCTGCTCGGAAAATTTTTCGTCTTTTGTGTTAGGAAGCCGGGACACTTCCCGCGTGATTTCTCCTGTCCTTCTGAATTTCTTTTCTTCGTATTTCTCACTTGGTGTAGGATAAGTAACTAGAGCTTGTCCACAAGAAAGCACTGTCCAAAGCTTGCTCTATTAATAAGTCCACTTTAATCACCCGTTTAATGGATTTTTCCTGATCTGAAAAGTTTCATAAACGGGACTGGGGTGTAAATTTTTTTTTCCACAAAATAGACACAATGAAAACTCCTAAGTCTCAAAAGCTTATCTCGTGATTGTGATGTGGACATAGATCATTGCGGTCGGAAAGACAACATTATTACAGCCGGCATTCGAAGCGTATATCGCACCAGGAATGAAAGTCGCTGATATCATCGTTCCTCGGGGTGGAGATAATGATGTGGCAATCAATCTCATTGCGAAACAGGTGATGACCCAACTAGTTAAAAGAGGTAAGCCATGATTTGCTATTATTTACGTTCGTCATTGTTTAGCCTCCCAAGTTATGCAGGTTATGACCAAACTGCTGCTTCACAATGTCGCCACGATTTGGTGAACATGGGACAGCTTCCTGATGAGCTACCAGACAATCTCACGATTATTAGGGAAACACCACAAGTTCGTGGTTTGCACACATTCATCCGAAACAAGAATACGAAAAGGTATGTGGGTGACTGTTTCCTTCTGTTAAAACACTTTGTGGCCCCGTCAGGGAGTTTGTTTGTCGCAGAACGCTCAGTTAATCCAGTAAAAATCATGATTCTTCAGATTTGTTTGGGCTGGTGGTAGTAAAGAGTTTTTATGCGATTTTGCGTCGAGCAGAGACTAAATTGAATTGACTGCGAGTGCTTTCAGCTGAAAGCCTGTGGCAGTCAGTGATATGTAATTTTGTCTCAATCAGTACTTTCAGGGACGAGTTGATTTTCTATTCTGAACGTCTGACCCGTATTCTCGTTGAAGAAGCTATGAATTTTATGCCCTATAAGGATGTGGAGATCGAACTCAACAACGGTCAAAGGTGATTTGTCTTTTTTCAATCAGGATTTCATGTAATCTTAGTTACTATGCAACAGTTATGAAAATATCTCGGTTCATACTTCTCAAGCTGCAGTTTACGAGTACCTAGTTGGCAAAAAAAGTTTGTACAGCCAGTTTTGAAATAAAACGCAGCTTTCTCAGTTTATATTCTAACGAAAGTTTTTGGGTTACAGAGTGAGGGGGCGGCGACAATCTGCTCGAATTTGCGGAATCGCTATTATGAGAGCAGGAGAAACTATGGAGAATTCTCTTCGAGCTGTTGTGAAGGATTGCAAGGTAAGCAGTCCAATCATTTCTGCCAGAGATCCATGCTTTACTTGCGCTTTTATTTTCCGATTTAGATGGGAAAAATATTGATCCAAACCAATGACAAAACCATGGAGCCGGAGCTTTACTACCTTCGATTGCCAAAAGATATAGACAAATACAAAGTCATGCTTTTGGATGCTACCGTTGCAACTGGTTGGTTAAGTTTGATCCTCCTTTGTTTATCGATTGAGCTCATTGGCTATTGAGAAAATGTTTCGGTGTAGTTTTTTGATGAACTTGAAGTTCTCTTGTTATTTATCCTCCATCCATTGTCTTAATCAGAGCTTTATCCTTTCCTCATTCATTGGTCTGCCTAACTTGTCGCCTTTTTCAATTAATTTTGCAACTTGTTCATGTTTTGAAATTATTCTTTTCTCTTACTGACACTATCATCATCGTTAATTATTATATCGTCACCGATCTTTTTTGTCTCTTCAGCGGTGAATTTTGCTTTGTAGGTGCGGCAGCTATGATGGCTATTCGAATTCTTCTCGATCATGATGTGCCCGAGGAGAATATTTATGTCCTATCATTGCTCATGTCTGAGCCGGGAGTTCATGCCTTAGCCTACGCATTCCCCAAGGTAGGTCTCTATTCCTACGAAAAGCTGGAATTGAACCCGGATAATGCGAAATACGGGATGCTTTTGCTTCTTCTTTGGATAGTCTGCATTCGTAACTTTGTGTCGCCACCCAACTTCCCATCTAGCTTTTTTCTAGTCTAAAAGCTTCTAAATCTAATTGAGTTTTTGGAGGTTTGGATTGAAATTTTTTCCATTCAGTTCCTCCCAGGTTTTCACTGAGCTGCTCTTTACGGAAACTTTTTTAAGCACCTTATTTTCGAAATATAAGTATGTAAATGACTTCATGATAGGTTCAACTCATAACCACTGCTGTGGATGCACAGATCTCTGATAATTTCTACGTTTTACCTGGAATGGGAAACTTCGGAGATCGATATTATGGCACATATTCTAGTGATACAGAAGGGGAAGAACCATTGGATGGTTAAACTTTATTTCATACGTTTATGCTTTGTCTGTTATTTTTAAGAGTTACATTTGTATTAAGGCTATCCTGTCATTTTACTGTAATATCTATCGTAGTTCACTGGGAGACTATGACGGTTTCTGTCCTTTCTCACCTGTAAGTGCTTCGATTCCTAATTATACTGCATATTAATTGTTGTTGTTGCCTTCGCATAACGCTTAGGGAGTGGTCTTGGTTTGTTGGACTGTTCTTGTTGTATACGTTTTATCGAAAGACTTAGATTAGCACTTGTTTTCAGTGTTGCACACATGCTTCAAGCATTTGAAATGTTATTTCTTCTGGGTATTTCCTTTTGCCACGCTTTTAACCTGTTTTTCATCCCACTATGGATATTCGCTGTGAAATTATTCTCAACTCTTGGCAGTATTCACTATAATAGTCGACATTTTTTCGTTATTGTTTTCCATGACAAAAACATCTTTCATTTCGGAATTGTTGGGCGCTGTGCTTGTTTTTTCGATTTTCAAGGATTCTTATTCACGATGTTGCTTGAAAGTTATAAATTTTTAATATTGTGTGCATGGCAATTGAAATTCGATGCTGTTCAGCTCACTGCGTACTTCGTATTCTGTGTTTTTTTTCGTGAATTTACATTTTCAACAATGCCTTTGGAAGTGGAATAGTGTGATTATTGGAGGCCGTCTGTTTCCTGCAATTTAAGTAGCAACGTAAAAATCTTATGGGTAGCCGATGACGAAAAATTTGCATATGTACACTCTTGATGGTATAACAAAAGCAAAGGCCTCGAATCTCATGTGCGACGTGCGTGATAAATATAGCCTGTCCCGCCTGTTTTGTCGACTAATCGTTGCCCCTTGTTGTTTTTATTCCAGCTGCCCAGCAACTTATTGTTTGCTGGGCATGATGGTCGATTTCAGAGCATTCAGCACAGCTGCTTTTCAAAATGCTACATCACCATCTTGCGAAATCCCAGTCTTCGGCAAAATTGCGTCTCGGACCTGGTGGTTCCTTCACTTTGGTTTGTATTGTAGTCCTCCTGCCTTGATATCATTCTCTTTTCGGAGCTGTACATAAACTAACAGGCTTTTGGCGAGCTACACCGGACGTTCTTCATTTTTTTTTGGACCAAGAGCGGATAACGGTCTATGAATTGGTTGTTTTTTGCTAAGTTGAACATTTGCAAAGCTTTTTTAAGTTGACGCTGATTCAATGGTCTAACTAATTCCACCGTTTCTGTGGTTCCCCAATTCCTCCTGTCTAAGTTTTTTGACGTTCGTATTAGGAACAATGGAGTTATACTAAGTAATGTTCAGTCATTTTGTACGGAATTAGGTCCGTGCCTAGCACATTCTTGTCGTCTGTGCTTTCAAAGAAAAGTCGCCAATCCCTTTCTCTCTTTCATTCCAGCAAGATGATGAACATTTTGAGTGGGATGATGGGCATGGGAGGTGGATATGGCGGACGGTATAGTTGTACAATGCGTGCCTATTCTGCTGCATTCATCGATGCCGATTCGGCTAAAGTTGCTGAACTCAATTATGGTGGAAAGGTTCGTTTTGCAGTGGCACTAATATTTTGCAAAAAAAAATTGTTGAAATCTCCACTTTTTCCAGATTTTACTACCCAATTCCACTTTGGATTACCTGATACGTTACAATGTGCCTTATCCTATGCTCTTTAAAGTAAGTATCTGTTTTTGTGTGGAGGTATATCGTTTTTGTTCCTTTTCAACCAAAGGCGGAATTCATAGGTGTCGTCAGTCAGTGAAAATGCGCGATCTACTAACTGTGGTGTTTTGGAGTTTTCTGCTCCAGAGGGAAAGTGTTATCTTCCTCAGTGGGTCAGTTTCTAACGTGTTTACAGAACTCCATGAGTATTAGAGCTGGTGCTTTTTTCACTGGAACTAGACTTTAAACAAGTTATTTCCCTCTAAAGTTCAGATGATGAAGCAGTTGCGCATCGATGAGGGCGCTGAAGTTCGTGTAGACTCGGTCACACTTCAAGCAGCTACATACGCGAAACTCAAACCGCAATCACTTGAATTCCTGAACATCAGTAATCCAAGGTTAGTCGCCTTATTTCTGTGACAGTTTAGCACAGAATGATTCTATGCTTTTTTTGTTTTGTTTAATACAATCCGTTGTCAAGAACTTTGTGGGTTTATATGTGGGTTTTTTTGTGTTTTTTGTGTTCATATCGTGAACCATTTTTACTCAAAGCCGTTCATTTTAGTCTTAAAAAGTATTAAATTGTGTATACTATACACTTCCCCTTCTTAGACTATGTCTTTGATTTCCACATGGAGATACAAAACTTTAGTTTTGCAAATTCATTCATAGAGATTTTCCAAGATAACTGTCGTAGCCCTTGAATTTGCCACAAGTCATATACTTGGTTTCTACTCAGTCATTCGCGATTCAAAAAACACACGCATACCATTTGCCACACTCCTGTTGTGGAATGAGAGCTTCACTAGGTGAAAACAAATTGTATGAACAGCGTCCCAGTGTGATTAGTTATTAGAGGTCGAACTTGGCGAAGATGATTATTTCAGAGCTGTGCTCGAAGTAGAGCTGCGAAAATTTGCATGTTTGACAAAAAACGACGTCATCGCGGTTTTGGTTCGTTTTTTCTCTTGAGTGGCATTTTTCTGTAAGAGCTTCAATGACGGGCGATTTTCACCAACCGGTCCTTCTACGATTGTTTATTTTCAGTATGCGGATCAAGTACTCGAGTTTCTGGTCCAAGAAGTGAAGCCCAGTAATGCTGTATGTATCATCGAATGCGATCTGAATTTGGATTTCGACGCACCTGAAGGATACGTCGAACAACCGACGTCCGGTAGATCTGGCACTGGTTTCAAGGTTGTAAAGTTTTTATTGTATAGATAACTGTGATGTCTTGAAACTGTATGGGTTATGGAGGTGGTGGGGCCATTCCATTCGTAACCGGTACTTTGGTGAAGAATTTTTTAAACAAAAAATTATTTTGTGTGTTTTTTTTACTTTGGAAAAAGTATTTGTTTCAGCCTCCGGCACCGGCCGTAAAGGCAGTACCACCTCCGAGTGGTTCACATTTCTCAGCATTCAGTGGATCAGGGCAACGTTTGGACGGGAAAAAGAAGCCTTCTTCAAACAGTCTTTGTGCTGACCAAGCCGATGATCTTCTTGACAACTTACAAGCATTACCACCAGTCATTTGCATTGATGATTATAAACCAGGTCAGCGTTTCGATCTCTCTCCAGTGAAATTTTAGCTTATCTTTGAAAATGCAGAGTTGCTAGACGTTTACCATTTTACTGCTGCTGTTTCTTGTAATCTCAAATTCAGATTACTGTATTTGAGAGTACAGTAGTAACTGCACATGTACAATGAGCTCATGCGGTGAAATACCGGGTGTTAGATCCTCCGTACAAGGTGTCCTATCGTTGAATTGATTAATATCCTAAATTCCATTGGAATGAGCTGCGTATCAGGCTCTCATACTGAATAATTGGATTATTCGGATGCGTCCTCTGGATGTTGTCCTTCTCAGTGCTTTTTTTGTTCTATAAATGGCATTTCTTCAGTAGGTGCTTCTGAGCTTTGTTCAACTCTGTACCATGGAGTCGTTAGAAGAAGTGGATTGGTAGTGAAAAGTACGGAAAAGAGTGTCTGGCGGGGAAGTCGTTTAACGCCCAATTTAACTACAACCGTGGAATCGGAAACTCTCAATGTCTTCACATAACTTCGACCTTCAAGAGTGTCTTTGAAGGACAGCATTGAGTGGACGTAGAAGTTATACTGACTTTATGATTACTGTTACAGTAACCAGGACGATTGGTTACCGCTCAGTGTTGATCCTTCTAGCGAAGAAGGGAGGAAAACATTGAATGAAGAGTGTTTTATGTTAGAAAATTAGGATTCGGGTGCGAAGCATGCACTTCGTCGCGGGACATCGGGAAGTCGGAAAATCCGACCTCGTTATTGTGCATTTTCGTTCCCGATTAGGTAAATGCATCATATGCTACGTCATAAGCATACTGTAATGAGTGTTGGCTTGCTTTTTAAATAGTTATTGGGTTAGTTACGTAATAAGACTAAATTCTTCCAAATTAAAGTGGAAATAGAAGCCATACTGTACTACAAAAAGCTGGATTAGTGATAAGTTTAGGTCTTGTTTTTCTGGAATGCGCCCAAGCATTTGCCTTCCATTCAGAATCCTAGTGACTGTTTGATTGCGTATATTACCTGTGCAATGATTCGCGGTAACCGGATCGTGTACAGGCCACTGCTTTCACCCTCCCAAACGAATTTGATATCGGTTGACCGACCCTGACAGGTTGGAAGGTCTGGTTGGCAAGGGCGATTATCGATCTCAGGCCATGCACATGATAGTGTTCGCCACTTGCCATTACCCCTGCCCCTTGAATAGGTCCAGTAAAGATTCTATCAGCGTTCAAATATATATTTAATATTTCAATATTTGGAAAACCTGTAAAAGCTCAGATCAGAGTCCCTGAAAACTCAACGATGGGAATATTTCAGGAAAGTTGTCATTCATACGGTACGACTACAAGTCGCGCTTTGACACAGAACGTGAATTACAAGAAGCAAAGTTAGCGGCTACCAAGAAAGCTATACCGTTCGAGGGGTCAAGTGCAACCATAAGGAAACGATATTGAATGCAAAAGGTTTCATCGCTTACTTGTCACTTCGAAGTATTTGTAATGTGAATTTCCTTGTAATCTGTGCACAGTGGCCTTAGTTACAGGCCATTCGGAAAATATTAACGGAGTTTTTTCTCTTGAGAATCAATTTTGAGCTCTCATTTCGATTATTTACCAAACTTGAATGTAAATGTAAATAAACGGTGATAAATAAAAGTAATTTTTTTACTTCTGTATTGTGCTTTTGTAATGTTTTTTGATGCTTGAATTAGTTTTTTGATTTAGGATGCTCAGAGAGTTCGAAGATGTGATAATCATTTTTCCAAGGAGTTCGAGGTCATCAAGCGGGTTAGGGTTAAGGGATGGGCGGGTTTTGAGAGGTGGGCCGTTTTCGTCGATTTTGGTGATGCCGTCGAGCAATTACACTTTTACGCTTTGTGACAGAGCACTTTTGCTTTTGATTACTGTCTCAGTAGTGGTTGGATTTCTGAAGTTGCAAACCAATTTCGACCTTTTATACTGTACATTTGTAGCTGCTTCTTTGAGAATTGCCCTGGAGATGGTTCCTAATTGATTTTATTGTGTAGCTAATCGGCTGTGAAAGAGAAGTCCCTTTCAATCTTTGACGATTGTCCATGAAAACGAAGCAGTTCCTTGAACTGCTTATGCAAAACTAGCTTTCATGTTGTCAATGTGGCTCTCTTCAGTGAAAAATCTGGAACATCATGAATTCCCAGAACCAATACTTCCAGAAATGTAATTGTGACTCTTTGAAAGCGGGATCAGCTGGTGAGCAGGACCATCTGGTACCGTTAGCACACATAATGGTGCCTTTTTCTGAATGGATTTAAAGTTTTTCATACTTTAAATAGTTTTATGTCCCGTTGCTCTGACGATTTTGATATAAGCAACTACATGTGCCAGTAGGGCCGAGCTTTCTTTTTTGTAATTGAGTGACTTTGTCAATGAGGGTCCCTCATGCGACGATCTCTAGGGTGCAGGGTTGCAAAGTTCTTCAGTCGCCCTTTTTCCATTTGGCATTTTTATTTGGGAAGCAAGTTTCAAAGGTTAAGAGATCGTGAATGAAGGATAGAAAAGCTGACAAGGATCGTAGAACATCCATGGTTTTGAAAATGTCAAGGGGATTCACATGAGATAGGAGTTAAGTGAGCTATTTTCCTCATTCCATACAAGTAGTCCGGAATAGTTTGGAATCAATGAACGAACAAGCGCCTTGCATTCCAGAAAAGTTCTATTCCAGATCCATCGAGTCAAGACTCCAGCCACCCTCAATCTCCGGTAATCAAGAAGAACCTACTAAAAGAAAAAAGAGTAGTATGCCGTATTTTCGAGCATTCCAACGGGCCTCTCATGCGTGTGTGTCACCTTTCTCATCAATCATCTTCGTCGCATTAACCACGCACATAGCTTTTTCAATGAATTGGGCATTGTTTGAATATCGGCGTTTTCGACGGAAAAACTCGGAGGGCGCCAGGGAACCCTCTTGTATGCGGCTCGCGCCCTGTCCTCAATCGACGTCGCCGTCGTCGTCAAGTTCTCACTCAAGTCTCGTTCCCTCGAGCTCGAACGAGGTTCTTCAAGTAGCTGTTGGAACTCGATTGTCACTTCTATGAGGTCCATTTTTGATTTGCAATCTCGTTGTCTTCGCTCCGAACTTACTTGATAATCCCATCAACTAAGGCTTACCTTTTGCCAGCCTCTAGACCAGGAAGGAAAGCAGTCTGGGCGAGCAAAATTGGGATCTTCTTGGGGAAGCTTTTCATCATTCGGGTAGCTGTGGGCCGGGACATGAACGCAACTTTGTTGGGCAATGACTTCGTGCTGCTTTTTTCCACAGCATGTTTACAGATCCTGTAATTACCGTAATTGCTGCGATGTACGGTATTGAAGGCAAATATCCCAGTTTCTCGTTCTTCTGCTTGCGTTGGTTGTTCCCTATTAAAAATTTCAGGCTGGAAAAAAAGACCTCCGTCATGGTATTTACGCCTGAGTAGAAAACCGAGGTTCTAGAAGATTCTAGCCTGTTGAGGAATAATAGACATGGTCTGAATTCCGGCTGGCTCCCCCCTCTTCCCTGGCTGCAGGGACGGACTAAAATCGTGGCCTTAGAATTCGAATAACGTATTCCGTACCGTTCAGTTTGCCCCTTACGACGTCGCGATGGTAATCTCTGGTGGTGTTTTTGGTTTCACGTGGCGTTTTTGCTTAGTGTATCTTGTGGTCTTCAATTCGATCAGATGAACGGGCATCGTTGAATGCCCCAATTTGTTTTTCATTCCCTAAGATCTCAATGACTTGTACCTCGTAGTATTGTGTTCATTATCCTTTAGTGCCGCCCAATTTCTTTCGAGATGCCACTTTTAGCAGCTCCGTGTACTTTACGAGACCGCCTCGTTTCTTTCTTTAATTTTTAATCAAGGCTCTGAGAGCATGGCACTTATCGATGTTCTCCGTCATTGCACTCACGAAAGGAAGTCTTCTGAGCTTGCAGGAGGCAATTCATGCTTCTCCTAAGTTTATCAACTTCACCCCAAAAGGTATGGAGTATTTGTTGGTAAGAAGACCACGGCCTTTGTAATGTTCTTTGACTTTACGTCTCCGTCTATCCTACATCGTTTCAGATTCCCTAAAACCTTGCCGAAGGTTTTGTTCCCCTTCTTATAACTTTCTTTTACGTTCCTTTTTGGCATCACTTCCTCAAAGATAAAGTATTGTAATACCTATGACACAGGCGCTTTGATCATAGTCCCGGAACTAAACCACGCATTCAGCTCTTGGTCAGAAACACTGAGGTGACTGAATGAGCTGAAAAATGATTTGCCATTCCTCTTCAAAAGGAGCTCCTTGAAGTCGGTACTCCCTTAGGTGGTTGTTGATTCCTTTCCGCTCATCCTTATATGTATTTGCTGTTGTCAGCTTACTTACTCGCCCCTGATTTCTTCCTCTTTCACCACGCCTTGTCCACCACTGTAGATAAATTGTACTAATTGGATGCTCCTGTATACTGGTCACAGGAATCACCTACAGTTGCTAGGTCCTGCTTTTCAAGAACTGATGAAGTGTAGCGATGGTGGAAGTGGCGTAGTGGCAAGTGGCACCCTACCTCACACGACCGGTCCAAATCCCTGACCGATATCCGCCCAAGCCAAACAAGCCCTCCATCCCTTCAGGGTCGATAAATTGGTCTGGGGGGATAAAAGCACTGACTTGGACATCGGCTGGCTACCGCACGACATTGCATAGGCCACATATGCATTCAATACGCCACAACGATTCTGAATGGACGTCGAACGGTGAGCGCATCCCTCAGAAGAAATTGATTAACGCCAAAAACTTTATCCTTTGATGAAGAGAACCGATGGGAACGAGAAGGGTTTACAGAACAATAAATGTTTATTTTGAGAAAGAAAACGGGTTTTTCTTCTGTGAAAGAGCCGAATGACAAAGATAAAATCATCGCTAAAATCTACCAAAACGATAGAAACAATCGAGCTCATCTGACGGACCGAAGGACAGGGTCAGGGCCTGGGGCATACATTCCCCAGAATCAAAACTGAGGTCATTTATCTACTGCAGATGTTTTCAT